CTGGAGAATTCTGGGAGTTGAAGTCCACAAGTCTTAAAGTTCTGGCTGGAGAATTCTGGGAGTTGAAGTCCACAAGTCTTAAAGTTGCCAAGTTTGGAGACCTCTGCAGTACAGTAAAATGCCTGCACTTAGATCGGTGTGCGGGTCTGAGGGAGCCTTGGAGAGGATCCCTACCTGCCAAGGTGCGCAGTTTGCCTTGCCTGCCGCCCTTTTGTTTTGTTTTTTTATATATATATATATAATTTTTTTTATTAAAATATAAATAAATAAAAAGAAAGCATCATGTTCCTTATATACCTAAGGTGACCAACTTTATTACAATGAAAAGGAGGAACACAAATAAATTGAAGAAAAAAAAACAAAGCCACTTGGGCACGGCACACTCTCTCAAAACAGTTCTCCTCTGTGGAGCGCGTGCGTCTCATAACCGCGTCTCGCCGCGCTGTACCGAGCCTTTGACGAATCGCCATGTCAAATACAAATACGTCACATCACACACAACGGATCAGATCGGCATCGATCAAATACGGAGATTTACAGATTAGTCTTCAAATATCAAAAAGGAGGACGTGTAGGAAGATACTTTTCGAGAGAGGACAGAACTTACAAAAGGAGGACTGTCCTCCCTAAAGGAGGACGGTTGGTCACCTTACTATACAGTGTGTTGCCTGGTTACATTTTTTGGAGCAATATTCGTCATAATCATAGTAATAGTCTTCTCTAATGATAATTTCATGATAACCGTGCTTTTTTCCCTCATACCATTGGTAGGTGTTAATTAGTAAAACTAATCAAAATGAATCACAATCAGTTACAATCACAACCCTGATCGTGAGATTGATCTTTCTCTTGTGATCTTTGAATTTCTAACTCCTGTTTCTCTTATTTATTTAACCAATGATAGACAGATCCCATACCTCAAAATATTCAGTGTCTTCCTTTTCTTTAATTTCAAATGTAAGTTTATTCACGTCTGCGCATTCTAAAATTTTTGTTATTATCTTTTCTTCTGTGGAAATCTCGTCGCCCTTCCAATGTTGTGCGAACACAGTTCTACATGTACTATTAAATATGCCTTTCTTTTACTATATTTATCTGGTATGATGCCCCACAGGAATATTTCCGGTTTTAAATCTATATGTTCCCTTATCATTTCTTCTAGCCAGGTGTGTATTTTAGTCCAGTATTTTTTTTGCTTTTGAACATGTCCACCACGTTTCTTTTCTTTTATGTATACTGAGAGCTTTTGCACCAAGACAAATTCCTTGTGTGTCCAATCACACTTGGCCAATAAAAGAATTCTAATTCTAATTCTAATGTGATAATACGTGCCCGGAATTTGGTTGCACTTCCACCACTTGGCAGATATATCCTTAAACATTTTGAGCAGTCCCGGCTCGCCTCTGTGAACCGAGAGACCAAAGTCCCAAGATCGTCCACATGTTTTGCATAATAGAATAGAATAGAATTTTTTAGGACAAGGAATTTGTCTTCGATGCATAAGCTCTTCAATGTACATAAAGAAAAAAATAAAATATATTAATCAAGAATCATAAGATACAACACTTAATGATAGTCCTAGGATACTAAATAAGCAAAATCATACTAGGAAACTAAATAAAACCATATAAATCGTAAAGATACAAGTAACAAGGTTATAGTCATAAGTGGGAGGAGGAGATAGGTAATAGGCAGGATGAGAAGAAGAATAGCAATACAGTCTTACTAAGTAGTTTGACAGTGTTGTGGGAATTAGTTGTTTAGCAGAGTGATGGCATTCGGGGGGAAACTAAATAAACTAAAAAATAAATAAACATAAATAAAAACTAAATAAACGTGTAAAGGTCTTAACAGTCATCAACCCTGAAGCTATCCACACTCCTGAAGTCAACTCGGAGCTGCCCGTTGCTTCTCCAAGCGAGGTGCAGAAGGAACCAAAACTTACAAACTCCAGCACTTGGCAGTGAGGGGAGCAAAGGCAAAGCGATTTCCGGGATTGACGGTTGATCTTGGGACTTTGGTTTGTTCGTTGGCAAACACGAATTTTTCTGCTCTTATTTCCTTGCAGCTCTCTTGCACAGGGGTCTCCAACCTTGGCAACTTTAAGACTTAAGCATAGCTGGCTGGAGAATTCTGGAACTTGAAGTCCACAAGTCTTAAAGTTGCCAAGGTTGGAGACCCCTGCTCTTGTATATTCCAAAAAACAAGGGTGACTTTGAAAGGGATTAGACAGAGCAGGAGGTAAGCTAATTGGGGGGGTCCTTCTTTCTTCCCCCCAAAGGAAAGGTTTAGCCCCACTAGGATCCATTCATTTATTCCTTTACAAACAGCATTTTATTATATAGGTAACATATTTTGTAACCCTTCGACAATCAAAGTCAGTGGGGAAGCCAGATTTACTTAAGGACTGTGCTGCTAACTTAACTACCACGATTGGACTCAATTTTGGTCATAAATAGAGGACTACCTGAACCATTCAGCTCATCCTCAACTTACAACCACAATGGAGCCTGAAATTTCTGTTGCTAAGTGAGATGTTTGTTAAGTGAATTTTGGCCCCTTTCGCCATCTTTCTGGTCACAGTTGTTAAGTGAATCGCTGTAAGTTAAGTTAGCATGGTCATTAAGTGAATCTGGTATCCTCATTGACTTTGCTTGTCAAAGGGTTACGAAAGTTGATCCCATGGGACACTGCGGCTGTCATAAATATGAACCAGTTGCCAAGCATCCAAATTTTGATCACGTGACCGTGGAGGATGCTGCGGTGGTCATAAGTGTGAAAAATGGTTATAAGTTGCTTTTTTCAGCACCGTTGTAACTTTGAACGGTCGCTAAGCGAGCTGTTATAAGTCGAGGACTATCGGTACTTAAGTCAAAGATTTTATACTTTTGTAAATTTGTGAAATTTATGTTGTTCCGTGCAGGTTGGGGAAGTTACCCCATTTTAGATGTAGATCTTCCATGCTCAGCCAAGCCTACAACAGGACAGGGCTCAACAATATGCAACCTCAGGGGTGGGTCCACACATCTAATCCTTTTTTGTTTTGTTTTTTAAGATCCTTCCCTCTCAGCCACCAGGGATAACAGAATATCACTGCTAAATATACTCATGAAACAAAAACTTTTCAAGAGAATAAAGGGAGCAGCAAAGAATTCACCCCAAACCCCTAAGAAAAAGAAACAAATATACCTAACTAGCTCAATAATCGTGCTTTGCTACGAAACTATGTGGTCGGGCTTAGTTTTTGGGGAGGAAAATAAGGGAGGGGAAATTCTGCCTCTGCCTACCAGCATCCATTGGTATTCATCTGGCTAGTGTCCTGTTAGTGTGTGTGAGAGTTGAGGGCTGTTTGGAAACTGAAACAGTATTTGCTGTGTGAGCAAGAAGGATACAGCAATGAGCCTGGGCGTGGCTTAGCTCAACTGTTCTGTACTAAGGCTGCTTGGTGCTGTGAAAGTAAAACTGAAATTGAAACTCCTCTCCTCTGCTTGTGTTTTGCATTTGGAACAGATTTCTTTTCAGGTGGGGAGGGGGAGTAGAACGCCTTAGCATCAAAGTGTGTTAATAATAATAATAATGATATAAGAAATACTAATGCTCTGATGATCATTTCGAAAAATCCTTTCATAGTGAGCACCTAGAAGCCAAGAGGAACATACATGCCAAATTTTAAGTTTGTACGCTTTAAGGTTGTGGAGCTTTCCTGATGATGTGTGAGTGGTATTTCGCTTTTAATTTATATATATAGATTCTATCCACAAACCTTCCCCCCAAAACATACTTAATATGATACCTAATCAGAAAAATATGGTCCATCCTTGCCAGTCCAAACCCTGATTTTTACTGCATTTGGCACCATTCTGTACTGCTCACTGGAAATGGATTAGAGCAGCGTACCAGTAACCCTCAACTTACAACCATTCATTTAGTGACCGTCAAAAGTTACAACTGCACTGGGAAATGTGACTTTCATATTCGCACTTAAAATTGACATAGCTCCCCCACAGTCATGGGACCAAAATTTGATGGATGGGCATCCGACATGTGTTTACGATGGTTGCAGCATCCTGGGGTCAGTGGGTCACCATTTATAGCCGCCGTAGCTGGCTTCCAGCAAGCCAAGCCAATGGACTCGTTTAAAGACTGCATGGTTCACTTAACAACCATTGGAAAAACAGATCGTAAAATTGGGCGTGACCCACTTAACTGTAATGGCCAGGCTGAGCCCGAGGGAGGGGTCAAATGCGCCATCATTCGAGTCCCTTCACACCCAAAAGAGATCTAAGTCCAAATACACCTTGAATTCCTTCTGCTCTTATCTCCCGCTGACGTCCCTTGCCTATTAGCAGTTCAGATTCTTGTAGAGAGCTTAGGCTTGCAAAATAAATCTTTATACCCATTTGAAGTGTGTGGATCTCCTGATTTTCCTGGCACTTGACATTAACAGCTGCCTCACTTAACAAG